ATTGAATAATTATCATGAATATTTAATGGATGCAGATATTCACAGAAGGAAAGGATTAAATAACAACAAAAAAGCTATGTTTGTTTTTTTATCAACCAAAATATATAATTAATTAGATTTAAAGATTATTATCTTATACCACTTTTTTATGATATATTAATTATGATATATTCTTGTAAGATCTGGCGGTGTTACGATCAGAAAGAATTGTTACGCGGCCATATTTTATTATTCTTAGAAACAGGCAGAAAATTCAACATCAAAAATTCTAGTTTAGAGGAAAAATGAAAAATTTATTTATCACGGGACAAAGCAAACGAAAATAAAATACTGGCAAAGTAGGCATTATAAAGATGTTAATATTAATATTGCATTGGCGATGTTAGCCAATTTTGACTTCTGTAATTTACTGACATTATTATTATGCTGGTTTTTGTTACAATCTGCTTCATATAATTATGGTAGTGGTTTTTCTATATAATCTATATATAAAGTTTTTCTAAAAAAAATTAAAATTAAAATTAAAATTAAAAATAATATTACATCTATAAGTTAATTACTTACTAATTAATTAATTATTAATTATCTAACATTAATAAATATCTACTTTTAAAAAAATAAAGAAAAAATTGAAGTATATATATATAAATTAATATTTTTTTTTTAAATTGTAAAATATAACAACTGGTTTTTTTCCTATTAATTAAAAAAAATATTAATCAAAAATCGGTAAGCTGTAATCAATATTATATATAATAATAAGATGATAAATAACACCTTACCTACTGTCATCACTTAGTCATCAGCAATACTAATTAACACCACCATCTTTGTCTTCGTCTTCATAACCATCTTAATCACTATCTATTTATCATTTAAATATAACCGATTAACCAAATACAAAAAACAATTAACAAGAAAGAAGAGATTAAGAGAGACTGAGTAAATGATAAATTGCCTAAATATATATTATATAAATAATAAAATAATAAATAATAAATAATAAATAATAAATAATAAAAATATTTTATATATAAGAATTTATTATTTATTTATTATTATAAAAAATTAAATTTTTAACGTGTGCTGGTTATCGAGAAGAAATAATAATAATAATGATAATAATAATAATAATAATGATAATGATAAATAATAAGGACGTATTCACAAATTAATTAAGAACTAGTATATTATATATTAATTTAGATCAAAAAGATCAAAAAAAAAAACATACATACGTATAATTTAGGACAAAAACTTGAAATTTCAACAAACAAATGAAATAATGGAATAAATATTAAAATTATTTTTTATTTTTTTGATTAATTTTTTAAATATAAATATTTGTGAATTCGTTCAATTGATTGATGTGTTGGAGAAATTTTTTTAAATGATTGAAAAAAAATTAAAGTTAAACTCTCAATCTCATCCTCATCATCATCCTCATCAACATCAATATCAACATCAGCATCAACATCAGCATCATTATATTTTATATACATCTATCTCATATTTTGTTTAAGCGTATACTCTGCTAATTGATTGACTGATCTTTAAACTAACTATAAATACAGTCCCAACTATTAAATAAATAAATAATAGATCTATATAATATATCTATATAACCAACTCAAAAATTAAACTTGTGAATACGCCCAAATATTACTATGAGGATCCTTATTATTATTAGCCATATTCAAAAAACCTCTAAGAGTTGTAAATAATCCATTTTTTTTTCGCATATTATTATTATTTAATTTGTTATTTAAAGTCGTTTTTGGAGAAATTGGGGATGCATTAGCAGTGTTAATGATAGTATTATTATTATTATCATTATTATCATTATCATTATCATTATTATTATTATTATTATTGTTATAACTATTATTATCATCACTATTGGTAAAAGAGTTTGTTATCATAGAAATATTAGCGGTAGGTATAGGACTTACAGACCTTGAACTTTTAGCACTTGGTAATGTTGAATAATTTTTAGGTGATAATGGCGGTGAAGCAATAGCTGTGATTGGTGTTAAAACAGGCTCAACGGCTTCGGGTGACGGTAAAATTAATGACTTTCTTCGTTCTCGTGATGCAGGAGCGGTATGATATGTTCTAGGTGGTGGTGTAGGTGGTAATATGTCACCAGGTGATGGTAATGGTTGGTTATCATAATCATATTCATAGTCATTACCTTCAGTTGATGATTCTGTAAGCTCTTCTCCATTCTCAACATTATCATCATCATCATCATCATCATCATCATAATCTTCCTCTTCATCATCATCACTAGTACCAACTGCTACATCAACCATAATATTTTGTCGAGGAGATGATGATGTACTTTTTTTCTCTCTCTGCTTGGCTAGTAACAACCACCAAAGTCCGCTGGCTGAATCACAACTACCCTCTAAAACGCTGGTTTTCATCGAATCCACATCAAATCCCAAATCATCCAGTTTCTCCAATAATTCGATTTCTTCAGGTGTCGTGAAAAAGATTTTTTCATTAAGTGTTTTACTATCAACAGATGACCTTTTAGATGCTCTTGATGTAGTAGATTGTGATGGGCCCCATGATTTTGTCGTTGACAATGTCAATGATAATGATTGTACATTGGAAGTTCTTGGTGTTGATGTGTTTGTTGATGATGTGTTTATTGATGATGTGTTTATTGATGTTGATGCTGACAATGATAGTGGTGTTATTTTCGTTGATGCAGATGGTGTTATTTTTGTTGGTGTCGCTATTGGTGATGATGTTATTGGTAATGTTGTTATTGATGTTGATTTTGTTGACGTTGATGATTTTGTTGACGTTGATGTTATTAATAATGAAGACGCATTATTACTGCTACCGTGACTATGAATGTGACTGTTACTGTGACTGTTACTGTTACTGTGACTGTTACTATCTGTATTAGTAGATTCTGTTATTGATGATAAAGGCGGTGGCGGTGATTTTGACAATGATTTTGAAGATGGTGGAGATGATGGAGATGATGGAGGTGATGATAATATAGGTGGTAATGATGTTATTGAAGGCAGAGGTGATCTTGACGATGATTTTGATGACAGTGATATTTTTGTTGATGTTTTTGTTGATGATATTGACGTTGATGATGTAGAATCATTATATGATATAGGAGGGGTAGGAGGGAGAGAGGGTGATGATGATGATGATGATGATGATATGGGTGATGAAGGTATAGGAGGCAAATTTGCTGGTTTTGATGGTGATGGTTTGGATATCAAGGAATTATTACGATGATGAGTTAACCCATTCATTCTAGTTTGAAAAGCTGATGGGGCACTATTAATACTACCAATATTGCCATTACCATTATTATTTATTCCATTATTTGAGTGATGGTGTAGAATACGTCTTGAATTGTATACCGATGATGACGACAGTGATAGTGATGATGATGATGGTGATGATGGTGATGGTGATGACGGTGATGATGATGATGACGATGATGATGATGATGATGAAAAATTATTACTAATATTATTTGTCATTGATTTTGTTGTTGAAAATATTTCTTGACGTTGTCTTTCTAAATGATTAATTGCATTTATTGTCGATATTGCAGATGGTGATGTTGATGCTGATGTCGGTGTTGGTGATGTTGATAGTATATTTAATGAATTGTTGTTATTAACATTATTATTATGTATATCATTATTATGTATATTATTACTATATGAATTATTATTATGTGAATTATTATGTGAATTATTATAAATATTACTTTTATTATAAACAATACTTTTAAAATTATTAATATTTTTATTGGTATAAGAGTTTCTATCTATTATAATATCTTCTTCTTCTTCTTCACTTTCTTCTTCGACTATCGAAGTCATTGTTCTTTCTTTTTTATCCTTTGTTATCGGATAATTTACTGCTATTTCTTTTACTAATACTGTTTTTTCTTCTTTTACAATTACTACTTCCTCACTTTCATCAATACACTCTTCATACTCCTCATCCACTTCATCATAATCACCATCTTGTGATTCTTTTGATGTATTTAAAACATTTTCATTTTCGTTATCGTCGTCACCAGTTTCTTCCACTTCCACTTCCTCCTCCACCGTCTCCACCGTCTCCACCACCTCCTCATCCTCATCCTCCTCATCATATTTTTCATCATCTTTAATTGTAAACCATGAATGTTGCAAAATTTGTCTTGCTGTAGGTCTTTCAGTTGGTTCCATGCTTAACATCATTTTTATTAGATCTTTTGCCTCTATAAATTAAAAATAAAATGAAATTAATTATGTATTCGTGGATTTAAAAATATCTTTTTATAATAACCGACATATATATATATATACCATCAGATAAAAATTCTTCAAATACAAATTCTCCTTTTATTATTTTTTCTTTCATCACTAATTCATTATCATCATCAAATGGTAACGAACCACAAAGCAATGTATATAATATTACACCTAGTGACCATATGTCAACCTCTAAATTTTTTTAAAAAATTAAACAATCGAAACTATTATTATAATGATGATGATAAAATATATTTGGTAAAATAACAATAAATATTTACCTAAACCAGAATATTTTTTACCAGAAAGCATTTCTAATTAAAAAAGACCAATAATAATAAATGTTAAATAAAATGATAATGATAATAAAGAAGATTTGATTGATGGATGGATGGATTACCTGGAGCAGAATATCCCGTGGATCCACATATTGTTTCTAACAATCTTTTGCTTTCACATTCTCTCGTAAAACCAAAATCACCTAATTTTATATTATCATTTCCATCAAGCAGTATATTTTCAAGTTTAAGATCTCTAATGACATAATATATAAAATATTATTAATATTATTTAATATGTAAATATTATTAATGTAATGCGATAGCTCTCATACAACACATATAGTAAGTTACCTGTGAACAACTTTTCTGTCATGGCAATATTTCACAGCTCTACATATTTGATAGAATATTTTTCTAGCCAAATTTTCTTTTAGCCGTCCTCCTTGTAAAAGTAAAAAATCGAACAATTCGCCCTTTTCACAATATTCCATTACAATATATATGTTAGTTTCTGTTGATATTACTTCCAATAATGATACGATATGTGGATGATGTAAATATCGATGATGATAAATCTCTCTTGTCAAATTTTCTGCATGAATCTTTGGTATTATTTTTATTGCAACCTTTGATTATTATTAATAAATAGTTATTATGAATGTTACAGAGAGATGTTTTTAATTAACATAATGTCATTATTTATATTATTAAATAATAATTATAATCCAAAATTAATTTAACTTAAAACTAATCTAAAACTAAACTAATCCTAATTCAAACCAATCTAAAATCTAGATGCTGAATTTATAAACCTCTTTCAATTTATATCATCTATTCAATTATTATTGTTAATATGTTTACCTTTTGACCAGTCAATTTATGCGTTGCAAGTTTAACTTTTCCAAATGAACCTAAAAGTTTAATAAATTAAACTTTAATTTATAAAGAAAAAAACTTTCTTTCCTTCACAATATCTCTCGATGACAATTATATGATACATACCTTCGCCAAGTGTTGTCTCCAAGGAATAATTACCAACAGATTTTAAATTAGATGTTGACAGTTCTTTCAATAATTCCTGGTAGTCGGCGGCAAGCTGTGTAATCATGTAAGAATTTTGGGTGAAGTTAGTAATTAATTATATGAATTAGCGATTAATTGAATTGAAATAAATAGAATTATGAAAATATTTCTAGATCAAACATTTAATCGAACAATTGACGATTGATAAATTTACCTTTGCCATATCGTTTCTTGAGGCAGCAAAAAGTGTGCCACCGAATCTTCTTGACCCAAAAGACATATGCATTTTTGTCGTCCAGCAACTTTTTTTTAAAAAAAATTATTCAATTATAGACTTTATAAAATTTTCTGGGGAAACTTATATCATTAATTTAAATTATATATATATTTATATATATATTATTATGTATAGTTATATAAATAACAAAATTAAAAAAAAAATTTTTTTTTTCCAAAAATTATAAATAAAAATATATATGTGCGCTTATATATATTAAAATAGTTGTATCTGTATATAAAATATACACAAAGCGGACAAAGGTTTATTATTATATTGTTCAGAATAGTTGAAAGTAGTAATTTCTATTATGTAACAAAAATAAAAACAAAATAAAATTAAAAAAAAACTCTATTCTCAAATAATCCGCAGTTTATATGATATAATTTTTCTTGTTTTGGGTTTTGGGTTATAGTATGTCACTATTATATATATTGTTATTATTTTATAAAATCTAGGAATGTTTTAAGAAAGGAAGTAGGGTGTGTGTGTGGGTGTGTGTGTGGGTGTGTGTATGTGTGTGTATGTGTAATTACTTTACTTGTTTCTTTAACGACTGGAAAATAAGTTTTTCACAGGAAAATAAATAATGCGAGTGCGGAAGTGAGATGTCCCAAAAGAAAGAGAAGTCTTGTTTTTAGTGGTTTTTAGAATGGATAAATAAATAATTTATAGTTATAGAAGAAATACAAGTAATTTAATTAATTATTATATAAAACAAGAAAAAGGAGAAGAAATAAATAGGAGAGAAGGAGTTGTTGCAGTGTTGTAGAAGAGAGAGAGGAGGAAAATAATAAATAATTTGAGATTTATTTTTGGAAATAGGGATTTGGATGAACAAATTAGTAATTACATATTAATATTAAAATTGACACTTTTTTTTTAAAAAAAAATTTACATTGAAAAGAAATTAAGAAATCGTGTAACATCCCGTTGTACTAATACGAATCATGTTTATTATCATTATCAAATCTGGTTTATTTTATTTATTTTACCATTTTAATATTTTTAATAGGGTTGCTTTATTCCCTGAAATCTTTTAAAAGAAGATGGCTTCTTCCAACAATGACAATACAACAACAACAACAACAACAACAACAACAAATAATAATCCAACAACTTCGTTTTTATCACAAAGCAAAATTCGGTAAAATATTGTTTTTTATATATATAATACATACATGCATCTTTAAAAATTAAAAATTAATAATAAAATCAATAAATAAATATGTTTGTAGACATGAATGGTATCAAAACGAAAATTATGTCAGCATTAGTATTTTTATAAAGAATGTAAAAAAGGAAACAGTTAATGTTTATATTGCAGATAAATCATTATCGGTTACAGTGAAATTGCCAACTGGGTCAGATTATTCATTGGAGCTTGATCCGCTTGCACATGAGATTGAACCAAAGGAAAGTAAATATGATATTTTGTCTACAAAAATTGAAATTAAAATGAAAAAAAAGGAGGTTGGTATTAAATGGAGTTTACTTGAGGGAGAAGATAAACTTTTGCAAAGAATTGACACTGATGCTAAAGGTAATAAGCCAAAACGAACGATCGAGAAGATTTTATATTTGAAATCACAAATCATTCAATATAAATTATTATTATCATCATCATTATTATCATTATCATTATTTAAATTTCCATTAATAATAATGCATATTCTACCACATGTAATAACTCAGGTAGCCTGGCATATCCATCATCAGCTCGTCATGCTAAAAATTGGGACGCATTAGAGAAAGAAATTATTAAAGATAAGGATAAACCTGAAGGAGATGCAGCATTGAATTCATTATTTCAACAATTATATAACGATGCAGATGAGGATACTAAACGTGCAATGTTGAAAAGTTACACTGAAAGTAGTGGAACTTGTCTTAGTACAAATTGGAGCGAGGTTGGTAAAGGTAAAGTTGAAACAAAACCTCCTGATGGTATGGTTGCTAAAAAGGTAAATTTAAAAATATTATTTTAACTATAATATTATTTATATATTTTTCTTGGTTCAATATTAATTTATATTTATTTTGTTTTCTTCCTCAATAAAGTGGAATGAATAAAATCAATCATAAAATGTTACATTACAAAAATTGAAAATATGATCTTTGTAAAAGGGGGGGGGGGGTGAATTTTTTTCGAAAACAATATCCCATACCCAAGTAACAATTGATTTATTGTATAATAAAATTTTCTAGTTATTGTCTTGTGCTTTTAGCAAATAGAACCAATTACTAACAATATTTTTTATTTTCTGGGTAATTAATTAATATATGCATACAATGCTTTCTTAATTTTCATCAGCTATTTGTTACATCCTACCAACAAATTGTAAACATGAGAACGTTGCATTAAACAATCATTCATATTATGCATTTTTTAATGCCATATTTCCATATTGCTTTTTGACCAAGATGTTAGCGTATAATGCATTTGTATACATACGTCATATATATTGAATTTATGCATGTGTATGTGTAAGATGCATATTAATATATTAATAATTTAATTTTCACGTGACTTGAAAATTCGGCAAATACGAATATCAAGTTTCAAATATTATTAATCAGATTTACATCCAACATTTTCTTCATTTGCATATGTATATTTTGATATATAACTCTTATAGATGAAGCCAATATTTTGGATGGTCAAAATTATTATGAATTATCATAGACTGTGCCAAGCAATTTCTTTCTATGGTATACTCATCCATATACATGTAATTTTTATTTTTTTCAAAAATGAAGGATATTAATATAAATGAATTAATAAAGGTGAGGGAAAAAAATTATCCAACGTTTTATAAAGGTCATGTGTGTCGTGCATGTCAAGCATGTGGTTGGAACATAAATTTTGAGCTCATAAGAGTTGTAATCTGTTTTTCTTGAGGAAATTAGAAATCAAATGACAAGCCTTTTTTTCATTGACTTTGTAAATAATGAATTTGTGCTCCAGGTTATGAACTACCCAATCGAGTAACATTTGCAAGTTCTTAGGTTAATCAACTATCAGCAAATGTTATTAAAGATCCAATAATAATGCCATTACTTTAGGTTTGTAGTATATTTAGACTTCATATAGAGCATCTATTTACGCATTTAGAAGAATTACATGTCATTCGATTTATTTCTCGTAAACATTAAATGGGGCATACCGTGACAAAGTGAACATTTTAATTTGTATTACCAAGGATCTCAGGGATCAAATTTTAGTATGTCAATAAATAAATACACATTCATGCCTCCTTGTATTGGAAAAAAGCCAATATGCATTTTAAATAATGATAATATTTTTTTACATATAATATCTTGGAAAATGTCAGGTATTCAATAACAAACTTATGTCAGTTATAATATTATTTAAAGCTTCTACAAAGCTTTAACATTACATATTTAATATTTACAGTTATTCTATTAATATCACTTGAGATTTTAATACCACTTTCTCATCTACTAACCAAGTCATTATTGTTTTTTGTCTTTTTATAGTTCCAGGTGATGGATGCGTCATAGTATCATCTATATCAAAAATAATCCTTCTCCCTGGCCCTCCCCAAAAATCTCTTCATAGTTTTCCATCAGTTCCAAACTTAAATTATTGAGATGATTTGTATTATGTATCGATAATATTGGTTCATCACAATTTAATCTGAAAACATCAATCTTTTCAAAAGACTTGCATATCATTTTGACAATGTCATATTTTTTTCCATCCATGTTGACCACCCATTCTGTGTCTTCTTTTTGTGACTAAATTAGATTTGAAAGTTGAAAACTATCAATCTTTATAAAATATATAGAATAAAATTTTATTTACCCTAAAATTTTCCCTTAATTTTATTTCAAAGTTTGTGGCATTGAGTTTTTTTTATCTCCAAATTGTTAATTATTTTCACGGTTTCACTAACGAATTTATAAACATTCCAAATATTTTGACTTAATAATTCATCAACTTTATTAAAAAATATACGAACCAAGCTCATATTTATTGTTCAGAACACTCCATGCAAAAAACTCAATGGCGTAAACTTTTCGTGGATCATATATGCTAAGAATAATTCGTAAATTTCGCATTCTGTGAGCTTGTTTTATCAGTGAAAGAGTCGCTATAATAAAATTTTTTTATTATTAAACTCGGAAAATTTGTAATTAGAATGACGATGAGTTGCAATGCATTGCAGCCACCACCGTCATTCTTTTTAAAAAACCAGAATGGCGACAAGTTGCAATGATTACAACCACCATTGTTCTTTTTTAACTAGAGTGATGACGGGTGGCAACAACCATTTCTCATTCGGATCCGTATTGTTGTTGTTTTTATTTTCTTCTTTTTCGTTTCTTTATTATTATATAGTTTATTAAAAATTAAAAACCACATTATTATTGGCACATGGTGTTGCACAAAGATATTTTTTTTAGGACAGACGCGAATTGTGAAAAACAATTTATTTTTGACAAGATGTAGCGTTTGTACTCGTAATAGAAATATCTGGCTGGATAAGGAATTTTTAAACGGTATTTTTTCTTTTTTTGTAAATGGTTCAACTTAGCCGACTGGTAATTGACTTCAGCCAATCAAATCGTATTTATTAGTTTTGAAAACGATTCGCTAGTTATTAGAATAAAATCAACTTTGCAAAAAAAAATTTTTTTTTGTGCATACAAATAAGATAAATCTCAGAGAACATATTTATGTGTTTTTATTGCCTTTGATTATATAAAAAGTTTTCTCTTTATGATGCGTTGATTTTTGGAGTTTTTTATATTTGAAAAAAAATCTGATTTTTTTGGAATAAAGCTTTTTTGCTTTGTATTTAGGGGTTCTGATCAAAAATAAAAGTGATATTTAAATATTCATAATTATTATCACTCGATATTCAAATATTCGGAATATTTATGATTATTCGAAATTCCATTACCAAAAGTCATCTGATGTATTTTAATGATGGTGGCCGAAATTAAATCCGAGCCATATAAATCAGGAATTTAGACTCCTAACTAGTGACTAACGAAACTTAAATATTGCCTAAACTGCGGGAGAAACTGTAGGCGAAACTTTTAAATTATGATCAAGTTTTAAATAAAATGGATTTATCAAAGTGTCGTCCAATCGTATGTTGGATATGCGACCTAGTCTCTTTCGTTTAATAATTAACTTATTTGTTACAAAAATATTAAATGATGTCACTTTTTGACCAAGTGAATTTTTTTTATCAATCAACTTTTAATTAATTAATCAATCAGATAATTAAATAGTTCTATCAGAGCCTTGCTTGAGAAAAGTTAGTATAAAATTATTTCTTTATAAATAATTCGTTTTGTAATAATAAAACAAATTAATTCTTTTTTTGTTTAAATAAAAACTTTTGTGGTCGGAAATTAAACAGTAGTACTAGTACTAGTAGTAGTAGGCTCTAATTGTCCGTTTGGTTTTTCCCGTAGTTTAGGAGTTTCGTCAATTTCTCCAGAAAATTTTCATAGAAATTAGGCCTAAACCAAAATTGCCTAAATGCCTAAACTATGAGTTAGTTTCGGCCACCATCGCTACTTGTAAAGACTTTACTCTTGAAGTTAGACAAGAAAAATAATTAGAGCTAGCGCTAGCAAATTTCAGCGGCTTGTTTTTTGTGATGAGAACTAAATCCAGATATCCATGACTTTGAAGAAGCTTAAATCACATGGCTTCAATTTATAGAAAGAAAAAGGAAAATTTTATATAAACGGCCGATAAATTGATTGATAGATTGATTGGTCATTTGGGAATGTGTAAAGCATCAAAAATCAATAATTATAACAAAAAAAAAAAAAAAAAAACGGAAAGTCCACAGCTTGTCTACATCACTTGTAATTGAAAATTATGAGTTAAAAGCTTTATCGATTTGTAAATAAATAATATTCTTATGTGTTGAAAAATATACAATTTAGAGAGGAATTGTATTTAAAGAAATGAATCAAGAAGAATGACAAACCAAAAGGGATAATAAAGATACAAATATATTAATAATAAATGATACAAAGAATAAAAATAATCGAATTTAAAAAACTTGAACTTGTCATTTTACAATGATTGGCAATTGAGGATTTTGTTCCATTGCGTTTTGTTCTGTTACAATGGTATCTGCAGTTTGTTCGTTTGTCTTCTCTATGTTTTTATATCTTCTTCCAAGTAAATCTCTCAATTTATGGGTCCAAAATGCTACTATATATGAAATAAAGTAACCTACAACTAATAAATAAAACACACCAAATGGCAATCTCCGGACCAACATCCCCATTAACAAATACAAGAGACCCAAGTCCAGATTTAAATTTAAATAATTAAATCATAAAAACATGATGTTTTGATTTTTCATGATTTTACTTACTTTGCATAAATTATTCATACTTCAAAAACGTACAATACTACTAAAGATATTGTCAGAAGAAAAAATCGACATAAGATTATTTGTTTATTTAAGAACAGCTCACTTAGTCCGAAAACAACATCTAGACCATATCTTGATATCCAAAGACACAGAACTATTGGAGAATATTTAAAATTTTGGAAATATTTGACAAGAGGCACCCAACGCAGAATTGATAGAATAGAACCATCATAATCATCATAATCATCACCATTATTATTGAAATATATATATAAAAGCAATATATTTTGAATAAAAAAACTTACTGATAATGTACGTGGGGGGTTCAAAAAGTTTTGTCACAGGACCTGTAACTTTATAACCTTGAATTAAATTAATCTGAATTCTTTTTTAAATAAAAGGCTTATTTCTCCTCTTTCAAATAAAAAATTGTTTGTTTTTTATAATTCATTGATTACTGAAATAATAATTTGCAAAGATCATCAATAAAATCAACTGAAAATTTTTGTTACAAAGTCATATAACTTTATGATTTTAAATGTAATAGGTTTAAAAATATTGTTATGAAGATTAGACATTCTTATCTTTCAAACAAAAAAAAGTTTAAATTTTTTGGCCTGTTAGTTACTAAGATATTAAATTTTAAAAATATCCAATAAAAAATATTTTATGTGCACTGTAAATGGATGGGATGTTAATACTATATGTCTAAATTTTTTTATTTACATATTAACTCATTCCTTCAAAATAGTTTCCCTTAACTTCTATACAATGTCTCAGTCTCATACACCAATTTTTAAAGCAATTAAAATACTCTTCTTGTGGTATGTTATCTGTTATTAATTTTACAGCATGCGCAAGGTCTTGAATCCTCTCAAACCTCTTCCCACCAAGTTCTTTCTTAATTTTAGAGAACAAAAAAAAATCACATGGG